TCCAATTATCTGATTGAAGTCTGGTTCTAACATGATCCAACCTGGTATTTCTGAATTTTTTCTTGTGCTCTGACAACCATATCATGGAACATCAATGAGCTAACATTCCTCATGCAAAACTGATTAGGAACATTGTAAAGCTTTACAGAATCATCACTAGGTCAGCTAACTTGGATTATCACAGCCAATGTTCATTTACCTGCACCTCTACCAATATCATACATGCCATCACCTCCTTACAGTGCCACTCTAGGACATGTTCCCACATGCAGGGGTGTGTGCTTGCAGCATGAAAAAAAAGTAGTGGCACAAATTTGTGCCATTACTTTTTGCCACTGCACACACTCCTGCACATGCACTCTGGTGAAGGGCAAAATGCCCAGCTTCAGGCAAACTGCTGTTTCCCTGTGCTCCTCCCAGCTCCTGGCGTGCTAGGGTTTCCCAGTAGCAAATTTTGTTTTAATATGCTGGGCACATAGTTTGTGGCACCACAAAGAGGTTTGCAGCACCATAAACCATATGTGCCTGCACATCTGGATCCAGCCCTACTGTCTACAGTGGACAGATGGGGCGTTCCCTACATATAAGAATGAACACCAATCTGATATCAGGTCCAGAAAGACAGACAAGCCAGTGGCAGAACACTTATTCTCCCTTGACATTCCACTGCTGACTGCAGGGTAACTGTTCTTAGACGACAAAACTTTAAAAGCCATCTTGAATGAGAAATTGCAGAACAAGAAACCTTCCCCAAACTGTAGTGTGTTAAGTATGATCTAAACTAAAGAGTTCTTGTTCCAGTATCTGTGTTCACTTTTATAACCCCTATGTCTCTCAGTGGGTCAACTGCTTTGTTCTTTTTCTTTCCTACCTACCTTGACTCCTTCAGCAGTGCTCCCTTTTGCCTCCCCCTTCCCTGTCCTTTGTATTCTATTTGCTGATTCTATTTAGAAGTTCTGCTTCCTGCAGTCTCTTCACCAAATATGAAGCTCAAAGCTTATACCACGTCTCTAATTTAGTTAGCCTATAAGGTGCAAATCTATCCTACCTTCTGACTTACTCTAGAAACACAGAAATTAGCCATATTCAAATCTAAAAGCAATTTACATTCCTGAAGCATAAGTCATATCAGGATAAAAATGTCAGTTTCTCTCATTAGCTATGCCAGTCAAGACCGCATCATAACAAGAAAAGCAGCACAGGGCACATTCTTCTTTTAGGCCCTTCCCTACCAAAGATATATTTGTGTTCCAGGAATATGAGCTAAATAATTGTATATATGGATGCAATGATACAACTGACATTTTAAACGTGGCTTGGAGTAAAAGGTGTGGCCAAGAGATTGAGTCATGGATCTCCATTCTGCTACCAAAGAGAGGGATCTGATAAACCACTGGTAGGAAGAATAAGAGTTGGTAAAATAAGATAACCAAAAATTTAATAAGTACTATAAAAATTACAGTGCATTTTAGAAAATCAGTACCAGAAAACTTGTATAACTAAGTTTTGTATTTTTCTCCACTAGGGATGATACTCACCCCAACTAAGAGGCTTAGGGGAGGATTTTGGCATGATAGAAATCCCATTTATACTCCACATAATGCAAGTCTGACTTAAATACAGGCAGTCCTCGGACTTACAATACAATTGGTTCCTGAAAGCTTCGTCTTAAGTCTAAACGTTGTAACCCGGAACCGATTTTCCCATAGGAAACAATGTTATAAATGGGAGATTGGTTCCTGAACCAAGGCTCAATACCCTATTTTCACCAAAAATAACCCAGAATTTTGTACTCAATCAATTATAGATGAGTAATATAGCTACATTAATATATTTCTATTGTAAATAGCAATCATATTGATTTGGAAGGACTTCTTTGATGCAACTTTGCTGGACTTTTTGAAGGGCTCTTGGCTGGAATTTTCTCGGGAGTCTTGGCTGCAGGTTTTTCTAGAGTCTTGTCTGCTTTCTTAAAGAAAGTGTCCGAGGAAGTTTGGAAAGATGTTCTCCAGGGAGATGGGCGATGCAGCAAACTTGTTCACTAGTGTGGTGTCAGGTCAAATCAAGCGTTGTAAAGTCGAAAGTGACGTCCAAACATTGGAACACAGTGTCAACTTACAAACATTGTAAGTGCAAAACATTGTAACTTGTGTCACAACCCAAAGGGTGTGATTTTTGTTTGTGTGTGCTTCGGCACTGCTAAATTGTCCCCGCTAAATTGCAGCTTCCTTGCACGGTGGAGTTTTCTGCTGCAAAAGAGAACCCCGGTGCAAGGGAGAATTTCCCGCCAATTTGAAGCTTTCTTTGCAGGGTGCATTTCTTTGTTGCAGCACAGAAATGCTCGTTGCAAAGAGTTCCCACCATTTGTATGCTAATTCGAGCCCCATTATTGGCCAGTTCTAAATTATTCACACGTGGCAGCTAGTGATTGGCTTGCTAGCCGTATAAGAGGCTTGAGTGGTTTCCGCCCAAGTTGGAGGACTCCACGAACAAGGGAGGAGGAGACTTCACGCTGTGTGAAGATCTCTAAGCGCTGCGGA